TTACAGTTTAACGTGGATTAAAAGTTACGGTGGTGCTTCCTCCTTTTCCCTTTAGTTCTGTCGAGTTCAGAAACTCCAGGACTGAAATGATCCAAATTATTGTAGTGAAGGTGTGTGGAGTTTAAAAACACAGTGGAGCACTTCCTGTATCACGACATGATGACGTCACAAGGTGGAACAGAGTGTAGCGTAATACTGGGCCATTTTAAACCCAAACGCGATTAACCCTAATCCTAAGTGAAAAAAACAGAAGCACCAGCACAACATCAGCAGGTGGAACAGTGTAAGACTCAAGAGCTAAAGCCCCACTGTGGAACATTAGAACAGGGTTACACCTCTCACCTGGGCGGGGTCCGTTCTCCCTCGAGCTTCATCTCTGATTGGACGAACAGGTTTAGCCCCGCCCCTCTGTTGCATTCTGATTGGCTCATCCATTTCACAGCAGCGTTTGAGGAAACTGTGAAAAACACAAAAGCAGAACGATTAAATCCACCACAGAACCCACCTCAGAACCCACCTCAGAACCCACCTCAGAACCCACCACAGAACCCTCAGAACCCACAGAACCCCCTCAGAACCCACCACAGAACCCGCCTCAGAACCCACCACAGAACCTCAGAACCACCACAGAACCCACCTCAGAACCCACCACAGAACCCGCCTCAGAACCCACCACAGAACCCACCTCAGAACCACCACAGAACCCACCAGAATCCTCAGAACCCACCACAGAACCCACCTCAGAACCCACCACAGAACCCACCACAGAATCCGCCTCAGAACCCACCACAGAACCCACCTCAGAACCCACCACAGAACCCACCACAGAACCACCTCAGAACCCACCACAGAACCCGCCTCAGAACCCACCACAGAACCCCCTCAGAACCCGCCTCAGAAACCCGCCTCAGAACCCACCTCAGAACCCACCACAGAACCCGCCTCAGAACCCACCACAGAACCCACCACAGAACCCCAGAACCCACCACAGAACCCACCAGAACCACCACAGAATCCGCCTCAGAACCCACCACAGAACCCGCCTCAGAACCCACCACAGAACCACCACAGAATCCGCCTCAGAACCCACCACAGAACCCGCCTCAGAACCCACCACAGAACCCGCCTCAGAACCCACCACAGAACCCGCCTCAGAACCCGCCTCAGAACCCGCCTCAGAACCCAACCTCAGAACCCACCACAGAACCCGCCTCAGAACCCACCAGAACCACCACAGAACCCGCCTCAGAACCCACCACAGAACCCCCACAGAACCCACCACAGAACCCACCACAGAATCCGCCTCAGAACCCACCACAGAACCCGCCTCAGAACCCACCACAGAACCCACCACAACCCTGAGAACCCACCACAGAACCCGCCTCAGAACCCACCACAGAACCCGTCTCAGAACCCACCACAACCCTGAGAACCCACCACAGAACCCACCACACCAGAACCCGCCTCAGAACCCACCACAGAACCCGTCTCAGAACCCACCACAACCCTGAGAACCCACCTCAGAACCCACCTCAGAACCCTCCTCAGAACCCACCACAGAACCCACCACAGCTCTGAGAACCCACCTCAGAACCCACCTCAGAACTCACCTCAGCCCTGAGACACGACCCTCAGAACCTCCCCCAGGGCATCTGAGGGTCTGGGTATTCAGGTCACATCTCAGGCCACATGGCCCTGACCTGTGGGGTTCCTCAGGGGTCGGTCGTGGGGCCCCTTTTGTTCAATCTCTACATGCTGCCCCCTTACAGTACATATTACTACTACTACAACTACTACAACTACTACTACTACTACTACTGCTACTACTACTACGGATGGGCATTTGATAAAAAAATTTTAATCAATCATCGAGAGAATTAATGATTGATTTTCGATTAATCATGATGATGATGATGATGGTGATGAGTCTGTTCTGTGTGTCGTGTTGGAGAGATCAGCTCTTTGTGTTGCAGAAACAGGGAAACTGTGTCCACATGCAGCAAGATGCAACCAGGATACTCCAAAAAACCCGCTCAAACCCGGGACACTGATGTGCTGTAAACACACTCACTGAGTGGAACAGTGTCTCCAAGGAGCCAGAGCCCAAACATGGGACTGTGAGGCCGAGACTCCAGATGCAGCGATTAGTCGATTAATCATGTCCTAACTACAACTACTATTACAACTACCAATACAACTACTATTACAACTAATATTATACTACTACTATTACTACTACTACTCATTTCTTAGACTCCTCCTCTTTTCTCTCCCTTTCTCCCCCTCTCGCTCTCGTGCATGACCCTCCTCCCCTTCAGAGCACAGGTCGGTCCCGGTTTCACGGCCTTACGCCTGCGCACACGCACGCGCTCACCGTTAAAGTGCGCAGCTCCGGAGCTCCGGCGGGACAGCGGGGTCTCGGCGCGGCTGTGCCCGGGCAGAGAGGCGCTGTGGGCGGCCTGGGCTCACGGCGCAGCTCTGGAGCTCCGGCTGGACAGCGGGGCCTCGGCGCGGCTGTACCCGGGCAGAGAGGCGCTGTGGGCGGCCTGGGCTCAGGGCGCAGCTCCGGAGCTCCGGCGGGACAGCGGGACCTCGGCGCGGCTGTGGCCGGGCTGAGGGGCGCTGTGGGCGGCCTGGGCTCACGGCGCGGCGGCCTCCATGCTCCGGGGCTCCTCCGTGTTTTTCAAAACTCAGACTCCGACGCCATGTTGGCTCTACGCCGCGGTGCATTCTGGGAAGAACACGGGTGACGTCATAGAGGGGGCGTGGTCATGAGGGTGCGTTCAAAGACCACGCAGAGTCCGTGATGCGTTCACGGAACAAACCTACAGCGCGTGCGCTGGTGAAGTAAAGGGAGGTGCACTATTTATAAAAATAAAACTATTATATTATATTATTTTTTTACAGATGTCAAATTTATATAATATATAAATTTTTCATCTATATGAATATCATACACACACAGACACATATATACATATACACATAACACGCCCACTGTGACGTAACACGCCCACTGTGACGTAACACGCCCACTGTGACGTTACACGCCCACTGTGACGTTACACGCCCACTGTGACGTACACGCCCACTGTGACGTACACGCCCACTGTGACGTACACGTCCACTGTGACATGACAAAACAATAATAAATACAAATGTATTAAAAATATTCCTACTTAAATCAAACATTGTTTTTTCACGTGTGGTTCAACAGAATTATTAGAAAAAAACTAAATACTGAAACTGTTCTGGACAAAAATGATGGTTCTTTTAACTTAATATTTTGTTACAAACTTTTGAGACAAACTCTAAAAACAAATGATGTGTGTAACTGTCAGTGAAACTTCTGCTCTGGACAACTGGGATTTTGATCCACGAGAACAAACTGTTCTAGTCTCAGGTTTGAAGGTTCCTTCTCCAGACGCATGTTTCAGCTCCAGAACAGAACAGAAGAACAGTCCAGAACAGAAGAACACTCCAGAACAGAAGAACCCTCCAGAACAGAAGAACAGTCCAGAACAGAAGAACACTCCAGAACAGAAGAACCCTCCAGAACAGAAGAACCCTCCAGAACAGAAGAACCCTCCAGAACAGAAGAACCCTCCAGAACAGTCCAGTGTTTTGTTCTTAGTCGTTCTCGTGTGTTTTTTCGTGTGTTTTGGGTCATTTTCCTGTTGAAGACTCGTGACCTACGACTGAGATCAAACTTTCTGACACGAGGCGACACATTTTGTTCCAAAACACTTTGATAGTTTTGAGATTCTATTGTATTTTTCACAGATTCAAGACGCCCTGAGCCTGACGCAGCAGAACAGCCCCAGAACCAAACCAAACCTCCTCCGTGCTTCACAGTAGAGACAGTGTTCTTTTCTTGGTCTGCTTCATGTTTGCGTCTGTGAACATAGAGCTGATGTGTCTTGCCAAAGAGCTTCAGTTTTGTCTCATCTGTCCAAAGAACATTCTCCCAGAAGTTTTGTGGTTGGTCCATCTGCATCGTGACAAACTCCAGTGTCACTTTCTGATGATGTTCTCTCAGCAGTGGTGTCCTCACATGAAGTCACTTTGGCTCAAACACTGATGGACGGTGTGATCTGACACTGATGTTCCTCGTCCTTCAACTTCACGTTTCATTTGTTTGGAGGTTGTTCTGGGTCTTTGGTTCCGTTCGTATGATCCGTCTCTTCAGTTTGTCGTCAGTTTTCCTCTTGCGGTCGCGTCCAGGGAGGTTGTCTTCAGTCCTGTGGAGCTTAAACTTCTGAAGAACATGTGGAAGTGTAATCACAGGAACATCACGCTGCTTGGAGATGGTCTTATTGTCTTTATCTTGAACCTGCTCGTCTCTCATGTTCTTTCTGGTCTCTGTGTGACACAGTTGTCTTCTTCTCTTTCTCTGGTCCATGTTCAGTGTTGTGTCCATCTTGTTTCCAAACACAATGACACATGTGGCCCTTTAAACAGACACACTGACTGAGACTGACGAGTGTGAAGAACCTGTGATGAAGATCAGAGACACACTGAACTTTAACATGTCCATGTTGTCCAACTGTTTACAGTCTCTTCTAGAGGAACATCATGTTTGTCCAGGACACTTTCATTAGTTTGTTTTTTTTAAATAATTCAGTTGAACAACAAATCAACAACAGTGTCTGATTTTTTTATTGGTTATTTTTCAGGACATTTTTATTTATTATTGTTTTTCTCAGTTTCAAGTTATTTCAGTGAAAATTGTTGATTTTTCTTTCATTACCAGAGAAAACCAACTGTTTTGAACATATCTGTATGTTATACATGTTATTTATGTTATTGTAACCGAGGGTCTTGAGTGCATAGAAGATGGAGGCCAATATGAAGAAGATTACACCGTCTCATCAACACACGGTACAGTACAACTTTTCAGAACCACCTGAGCTCACTTCCGTTTTCACACTAAAAGTCAGGAGTGAGACAGGAAATAGAAATGTCGCTTACATACCTCCCCCCCCAAAGAAAAACAAACGTCCTCGTTTGACACAATGTATATTAAACAAAAAAAACAAAAACAAAAAACAAAGTAACACAAGTAGCCACAAACAAGCACCAATAGGAAACATGGCAAAAGCCATCAAATGTCTCACAGAACATAACATACACAAAGGGAGGCGAATAGTGAGATGAACCAAAACATAAATAAAACACTGTCAGGTGAGAAAATCAGTGAATCGGGCAGGTGGCCTCACAGTCCTGCCCACACGTGACACCACCAGAGGCTGGCCGTCCACATCAGACACACCCTGACACCCACCAGGAGAATCCCCCGTAGGTAATTCCCCCAGAGGCTCAGGCACACTATGGGGCAAGCCAGGGTGGGAATCAAAGGAGCGTCTGGGAAGGAGACCTAAAGTATAAGGTTTGAGCCTGTCAAAATGAACCACTAGCTCCGGCCCATCATCAACCAGGAGATCCCGAATGCGGTATGTCAGCCCCGTGGCACCCAAAGAGTCCACAGCACTAATGACCTTAAAGGGACCCCTCCAGTGGGCAGCCAGTTTCATCCTGTCCTCTCTGGGGTTATGCAGCCACACCAAATCCCCTGCAGAGTATGGCTTGTGCCGGGCATTAGAGTCATGATACAATTTCTGATTCTCGTGAGCCACAGTAGCACTCTGCCTAGTGTTAGCAAAGGCCACTTCCAACTTCCCCACCAGAGAAGAAACAAAATCGGCATGAGATAAAGGTAAGTCACTATCAGTAAGTGTTGGCAACAACATGTTAACAGGTACCCGGGCCTCACGACCATGTATGAGAAAATACGGAGTGTAACCTGTGCATGTATGAACGGAAGTGTTGTAAGCAAAAGCCACATGTCTCAAATAATCATCCCATTCACCACCACAGGACAGTAGTGACTTTGCCAGCTGGTCAATGAGAGTGCGATTAAAACGCTCCACCATACCATCAGATTTCGGATTATATGGAGCAGTCCGCGTTTTCTTAATGTTCAGAAGTACACACAACCTTTGTACAATGTCAGCCTCAAACTGTCTGCCCTGATCACTATGCACAATCTCCGGTTGCCATGTAAAAGCACATAATCATCAAACAGACCCCCGAGCAACAGTCTGGGCAGTCTGATTGGGTAATGCATACAGATTAACAAACTTGGAAAAATAATCCTCCACAACCAACACATATCTGTTCCCCCTAGAAGTCAGTGGAAGTTCTAAAATGTCCATAGCGACCCTCTGAAAAGGGCGCACAGTTCGTAACCCCCCATAGGAGCCCGATGTTTCGGGACGGGGGCCTTACGGGTCTGACAGGGGACACATTGTTCACACCACATACGAATGTCCTTGAGCATGGAGGGCCAATAACATAATGCTCGAGCTCGCTCCCACACCCTTTCAGCAGAAAAATGTGCAGAAACCGGGCTACCATGTAGCTGATGCAGTACCTCAGGCACCAGAGCATTAGGCACCAGTACCTGACGTTGTGCCCCGCCCACAGGAGAGGAGTAGACAGTCCGGTAGAGAAGACCATTCACCACTGAAAGTCTGGGGAACTCCGACCACAACTTCCGAAGCCCCCGAGAACAGCCACGTAACTGCCCCCAAGGTGGACGGGAACCCCCAGCCTCGATCCAGTCTAACACAATACCAATATCCGGATCATCTCGCTGTTGTATGGCAAGAAATTCACAGTCATTTATAAGTGCCTGGAAGGTCTGCTCCCTAGTGTCAGGAGCCATGGGCCGAGGAACTGCACTGTAGGGACTGTCACTAGAAGGGACAGGGGGTGCTGGTGAAAAATCAACCACGTTAACCAGTGCAGCAGCACCCTCAGTCGTCCTGTCAGGTCGCCGCGAGAGGGCATCCGCATTAGTGTGACGGTGGCCTTCCTTGTGCTGTATAGTCCAGTTGAAAAGATTCAGTTCCAATATCCACCTGGCTCTCTTTCCAGATGGATCCTTGTCAATAGACATGCCCCGGACCCCTAAAAGAGGCTTATGGTCAGTTATAATAGTGAAAGATGCAGACCCAATATAATGTCTAAACTGACGCACTGCCCATACAACAGCCCATAGTTCTTTATCAAACGTAGCCCAGCGTTTCTGAGCATTCGATAGTGACTGGCTTGCATACACAACTACTCTTTCCAGCCCATCCTTATTTTGTGCCAAAACTGCCCCAACAGCCTCCATAGAGGCATCTGTATACACTTTAAAAGGAATAGTGAAATCAGGCATGGTAACTACAGGGGCAGACGAAAGTACAGATTTGAAATGGCAAAAAGCAGCATTACAGTCACTAGTCCATACAAAAGGGACATCTTTACATGTGAGATTATGAAGTGGGGCAGCATAGCGGGCAAAGTCTTTAATAAAACGTCTATAATAGGAACACAGGCCCAAGAAGGCTCTCACCTCAGTTGGCGACTGTGGTGTGGGCCATGACTTGACTTTGTCTGTGTTCCTGGGATCTGGCTGCAGGCCACGGCCGGAAACAACATGGCCTAGGAAAACCACATGATCCCGGGCCAGGTGGCACTTCTGCGAGTTGAGTTTGAGCCCAGCAGCCTGAATACGGGAAAACACCTCACGTAGGCTGGCAATGTGGTCCTCAAATGTAGGACTGAAAATCAGTACATCGTCCAAGTACACCATACACACCTGCCATGGGAGCCCGCGCAGAACCAGTTCCATCATACGCTGAAACGTCGCAGGTGAGTTGGTGAGGCCCATGGGCATAGACCTCCACTGGTACAGGCCCCTTCCCGTGGTAAAAGCCGTTTTCTGTCTGTCCTCCTCAGCCACTTCGATCTGCCAGTAGCCATTCGAAAAATCCAGTGTACTGAACCAGCAAGACCCAGACAGAGCATCCAGCGTGTCGTCTACCCGGGGCAGGGGATGGCAGTCTTTCACTGTGACACTGTTTAAACGCCTATAGTCAATACAAAACCTCCATTCACCATTCTTCTTCTTCACCAGGACCACTGGTGAGGCCCAGGGGCTGCAGCTCTCCTCAATCACTCCATCTGCTAACAAAGCTGCCACCTGTCTGTCAATCTCCTCCCTCTTCTCTGGAGAAGTGCGGTAGGGCCGCTGTCTCAAGGGAGGGTGATCACCCGTATTAATGCTATGTTTGACTAAGGTGCATTTACCAGTCACTGCCTTTGATGTACTGAATATGTCCCCATATTCTGCCAGTAGGGTTTTTAGCTGCCTGACTTGGGCTGAACTGGCGGGAGAGTCAGTTAGTGACACCGGGGGAATCTCGCTGTCTGCTGCAGAAGGGACAGACCCCTTACTTGATGTAGGAAATGCCAACAGGTCCTCCCTGCCCACAGAGAAGAACTCCCCAAGGTGTGTGCCCTCCCTTATAACAAGATTTTCATTGGAGGGGTTCAGAAGTCTGGCTGTTGTCATACCATTTTTAACAGAGGTGAGAGTGTGGGCAACAACACACTCACTTCTACCTTGGGGATTAGGCTCCAGGTAACCCGTAAAATCAGGGAGTAGCTCTGCAGGCCCCGAGGTGGCAACCTTGACAGGCACTAACATTTCGCTCAGTGGGGGCAGTGTTATAGTGGCAGAAAGGGACACATTACAGCACACTGGGATTAAGTCTGTATTATTTAGCAAAACTATCTCCATGCCCCATAGCTGCAGCTTACCACGAGAGAAATCTAACAGTGCGTGTTGTGCTGTTAGAAAGTCCAGGCCTAGGAGTGCTGTCTGGGTGGATTTTCGTAGAACATGGAAAACATGCTGCATTGACTGATTGCCAAGACGTAAGGTGACTGTAACTGTACCTAATGTGTCCAATAACTGACCATTTACAGCACGAGCAGCTACGAGATCTGCACACAAAGGCCGCTGGCGCAGAGCAGGGACTGACTGACGAAAATCTGCATTAATAAATGATACTGTAGACCCAGAGTCAACTAAGATATCAAGCTCAGTACCTTCAATAGTTCCCCGCACATACGAGGAGCGCTGCCCGTTAGTCGGCAGCTGGGCAGTAGCGTGATTGGGAAAAGGCTGAAATACTTCCTCCTCCAAGGGCCACACAGGTGTTGTAGCTGGGGTCTGGCCCACGACCACAGCTACATCTCGTTTCCCTGCTGGTGGGCAGAGTTCTCTCGGGCCGGGGAGAGAAACCTCACCCCCCGTCGTTGCGTTGAGTCGTCGTAGAAGATGCCTCTGGATGGTTTCGGACTCTGTCCCCCTGGAGAGCTAGGGCAGTTGTTGTAAGGTGATGGTGAGCATCGATCAGGCCTTGGATACCTGTCCAAATGACGCTCTCGCCAGCTGGGATCAGGTGAACGTCCTCTTGGCTCGATCCAGGAACGCAGGGATTGGCAGCCCCCCACAATGGCACTGACATTGCCCAGTTATGGGAGCCTTCTCGACCGCGATATTTAAGTTTTTCATTCTCATCAGACAGCCTTCTAAGGTCCATTCTCATCTCTTTCATATCTTTAGCTAACCGGTCCACGGTGCGCTGCCAACCAGCCCCTTCAGAGATGGACTGCACCAGAGCAGTGGTGGTAGGTTTATTGGTACCAGTGTCCGCCAGAGGGTATGTATAGTCACTCCTGAGCGTCTCACGGGCCATATCACAGCGTCCTGCAATCACCAGAGCCTCCTCCAGATCGGTGGCTCCCTGTTCTTGACATTTTGCTCGGAGACAGGGGTCAAGTCCAGCTAAGAATCTGCGAAACATCTCTTCTCTTTGAGCTGCTGCACCATAGTCAGGAAATGCCTCTTTCACTAACTTCCCTAGATCAGCGGCATAAACATCCAGGCTTTCACCATGGGCTCGACGGCGCGCCGCAAGGTTTGCTCTGAAACATTCCAGGAAATGTCTTTGTCTAAAGGCGTCCTGTAGTCGCTCTTTCACAGCAGCATAATCTGCCTGTACAGCAGCTGGCAGGTGTCCCACAACACAAAAGCGGCTTTGGTGAGTCGTGTTGGGAGAATTCTGGCCAGTTCATAATCATAGTCCCGCCAGTGCCGCCACCAGCGCCTCACGGCCACTTCATACTGGCGCCACCAACAGGAGAAGCTCTCACTGTCAGCTCCGGAGAAAAGTGGCGGGAGTTCCATTTTTACATGACTGCTACAGAATCTCTGAGCTTTGGAGTCCAAGGGGTCTTCGTCAAATTTCCACATCGTGGCTGCTTACGAACACGAAGGAGCTCGGAGTTCCTCTCGCTCTACAATGTACTGAACAGCTAAGCTAAGCGCCAGTTAGCAATGTGGCTAACAGAAGCTCGCTGCGCCTGTAACCGGTCGGCCTCTCGTAGTCTGAATAAACCGATGGGCTTGTGCACTGGAGAAATCCCACCGCTGCCACCAGTGTAACCGAGGGTCTTGAGTGCATAGAAGATGGACGCCAATATGAAGAAGATTACTTTATTTTTCTCCGCAGCTCCGTCTCATCAACACACGGTACAGTACAACTTTTCAGAACCGCCTGAGCTCACTTCCGTTTTCACACTAAAAGTCAGGAGTGAGACAGGAAATAGAAATGTCGCTTACATTATACATGTTATATCTGTTATTTATGTTTTATGTTTGACTCTGGGTCTGATTTAAAAAAAACACTGTGCGCCAATCCTCCTCGTGCTCCTGGGGGTTTAACTGCGCACGAGCGTCTGCACACGTGTGACTTTACGTGAATTGAAGTCTCTTTTATTGTGAAAGCGCCTCTTCCGGTCCGCCCTGCTCCGGGCTTTTACTGTGGAGGCTCCTGCAGCGCAGTCCCGGGTCAGGAGCCGGTTATTGATTCATGATCAGTTTTTCATCGATATTTGGGGAAGATGCTGGTGCGCGCTCTCGTGGCTGTGCTCGCGCTGGTGTTCGTGCGCGCTCACGCCAAACAGCGGGACTTTTATTCTTTTAAAGTGGTCAACAGCCGCGGGAAGCTCGTGTCGCTGGAGAAGTACCGAGGATCCGTGAGTTTCACCCGAGTTATGCTCGTCTCTCCCCGGGCTCGCGCTCCGGGCTCGCGCTCCGGACACGCGCCTCGTTTCGGTTATTTGAAGGGACAATGTCAGTCACGTGTTTTCTGACTCTTTCGGCTCTCGGTGCGACTCTCAGTGCGGCTCTCGGTGCGGCTCTCAGGCTGCGCGGGGAATCACCTGAACTTTGTGAAACTTTGTAAAGCGCGTGCAGAGGCGCGTGCGTCTGTCGCGTGCTCCTCTTTGCTGTGCACGTGTATTGCACGTCCATCATTTACCCTTATGCGCGTGCCCGTGCGCCGGTGCTCGCGGAGTGGAGGGAGGTGTGTACGTGGCAGCGGGTCCCACGGTGTTGATCACGTGACGCGTCTTTCATTCACAATATGACCACGAAGGAAACGTAAAAGTGCGTAAAAGAGACTGCGCGCGCTCGCGCCCTCTCTGCGCGTGCACGGATGAGTCTGACACAAACTTCTGCATAATAAAAAAAAAAAAAAAAACACGTTCAAATTCCTTTCAACGCCGCGCCTCGTTTCTCTCGTCACGCGACGTCATGTGACGCTCTTCTGACGTACGGATGGACAATGATGACGTCACGCCCAGACGCAAACAGCTGTGCGTTTTTTACTAAACTGAATAAACAAATATTTTACGACCATTAAAACAAGAATGAATCAGAAAGATCCGCGTGTCTCATTTAGACCCCAAACAGAATTTAAACTGTTTTTATCTTTTCCACTTTTCTCAACTCAATCAATCTGTAAATATAAACAACAACAACAACGTTTATAAAACTGAAAACCAACGAACAGTTTGTGAAAAAAAGTAAAAAACATGTTGAAAATGTCACAAAGTAGAGTTTTGTTTTAGAGACACCCACACTGTGACATCACGCTGTGACATCACGCTGTGACATCACACTGGTGATGGAAGGTGATGTCACCTTTCATTTCTCTCCTCTTCCTCCTCTAACTCTCTCCCTCTCTTCTTCTTCTTCTTCTTCTTCTTCTTCTTCTTGTGTCTTTTCTTCTTCTTCTTCTTGTGTCTCTTCAGATTTCTCTGGCGGTGAACGTGGCGTCCGAGTGCGGTTACACGGACGATCATTACCGCGAGCTGCAGCGTCTTCAGCGAGACTTTGGCCCCGCCCACTTCAACGTTTTGGCGTTTCCATGTAACCAGTTTGGCCAACAGGAACCGGGAAGTGACCGCGAGATCGACTCCTTCGCCAGGACCACGTACGGCGCCTCCTTCCCAATCTTCAGCAAGATCGCCGTGACGGGCACCGGCGCCAACAACGTCTACAAGTACCTCACAGGTCAGACCAGGTTTAGACCAGGTTTAGACCAGGTTTAGACCTGGGTCAGACCGGGTTTATTCCTGGTTTAATCCTGGTTTAATCCTGGTTTCTTGCAGAGTCCTCGGGGAAGGAGCCGGACTGGAACTTCTGGAAGTTCCTGGTGGACTCTGGGGGGTCGGTGGTGGGAGCCTGGGGCCCTGAGACGTCGGTCCAAGAACTTCGACCCAAGATCCAGGAGATGGTCCGAAACGTGATCCTC